AGTATTCCGAGCTAATGAAGCGAGGATACGATGGCGCGTGTGCCACTCGAAACGCATTCCGGTTCCGTCTAATAATGCACTTTCGTATCTAGCAAAACTGTTAATTTTTGTGCCGCACGACGGCATTTGTATTATTATTTTATATCACTAGTCCATTTTGTATTTCTCCATCAAGCGTAGGTATATAAAAACCGTATTTACTTGCGCAGCCTAAAATGATCTTTTAAATTACGCGTTTTAAAAGTGAAAGTCTTTCTAAATTTAATTTATTTTACGTAATTTTTCCTTATAGAATTTAACATGTGAGAAAAATTACATATTTTGTTATTTAATCCAAATCAAAGATTCTTTTTTTTTCAATTTTTACAATGATTGTAAATTGTCAGGTGTTTAATTATTATATTAATATGTACAGTATTATTTATTAACATTGACATAAGAAATATTTTAGGGAAATCTGTTGCTAATAACACATGAACGTGGAGTGGCGGTGTAAGTATATCTATCATGCATCTCCGAAATATACAACTTTTTTATTGGCGTTTTCATCTTATGTTATTTAAATATTTGACTTCGTTCTTCCTTCTTTTTCGTTCGAGCTTAAAAAATGTGGGTGCGATTCCGTCTCCCTAACTAACTTAATCGTTTTTTTGTAAAAGAAGTAAAAACAAACAAACATTGTGTTCTTGAAGTTAAACTTAGAAATAAGTCTCTATCTATCTCCAATCATATAAATTAAGTAATAATGAACATTGAATTAATCGCGAATAAAACATTTCGTTGACTCCAAAGTAAAACGAAGCATGTTATTTTAATTGATATTTTATTACTTTTTATTTCTACTCTGCCCAAAAGCGATTTTTTGGATGTAGGTATATTTATATATATATACATATATATATATATATATATATATATATATATATATATATATATATATATATATTTCCAAGACTACGGAACTCTTATTTTAACCCTTTCGCTGTCCCGTGCACTATATATAGGGCACTGCTATTGTCTTACTATTGTGTCTGGAAACCGGACAGTGAAAGTGTTAACTCATTTGCTGTTCCGTGTACTACATATAGTTCATCGCTATTGTCTTACTATAGTGTTAGAAAATCGGAAAGTGAAAGTGTTACAATATATTGCAGAAAACGAATCATATTATTTAAAATAGCTGCCCTGTTAAGTTTGATAACAGTATCTAACAGTGTGTAATGTTCAAAGTTAGTTTTAACATGTTTAGCCTAAATAGGATATTTATTTTTCAGAACAGTAAATTAAAGTAAATTAATGTGTTTACTATAATGTCTTGATAAATTTAATGTCTTAGTATTTGTATAATGCGATCTGCTTGTTCTCCTTCATCAGCCTGTAAATGTTTATTGCCGGATATTGATCTTGCATTATTATTTACGCTTGGCGGGTGGATTGGAGATACAGTATTAAACGAGAGATATATATACACACAGTAGTAAACGAGAGACAGTATCCCACTTGTGTATTTTATATTATCTAGTGTAAACGAGTTCGGTATACAGACATCTATCAGAAGTCATTACATTGTTCTAGCATTTGTATAGTTGCCTCATTACTTCTACGGGATGAAATGGGGTAAAGATTCTCATACTCAACTAGTGCACGGCACATTTACTGTTCATTTAGTTACACGTTAGTTTTTATATTGAAAAAGTTCAATATCAAAATTAACGATTGACTAAATGAATTTGAATATGATGATGAATATGAGACATAAAGATATCCCAGTCAATGTAATTGTCAAAGAATAAAACGACTGATCGACCTCCTACAGAATCTCTTAACTATAATAATATGATATTATATTTTGTTATATTCAATTTATTATAATGATAGATAATTTTTCTAACGATATCATTACATGAAACACGGAGTCATTACGTGGAGAATAACGTCATTATTTCTTTAACTAGATCGTTATACTTAGCGTACTTGGGGAAACTCTTATAAATTCTTATATATACGTATTTGATTTATAACAATTCACCTGTAATGAGATCATATTATTTCTCCATTATAATCATAATATATTATCTTAAAACTAATCACATGCTTAATATGGAATATACGAATATGATATCAAGTCTTCTTTTATGCCAAGTGTGTATATAGTATTAAAGTAAATTAAAGGAATCGTTTCAGTTTAAGATATTTTAAATATACGCGAATGCTAACCATTAAGGCGACACATCGAAAACCGTTGAAGCGGGCTATCGCCGGACTAACCAGAGTAAAACATAATTTCTATAAAAACTTCAAAAACGCCGTCATAAGGTCTAAAATTGCGTAGCGCCCGCGACGATAAAAACCGTTTAGAAATCGCGTAGAATCTTAAAATATTTTAAAAAAATTATTGATTTTAGTAATCAAAATAATGAGCAAGTAAATTACGAATATTGATATTATGAATATATTCGAGTGGTTTCCAAGCATATAGATTAAGTAATTTCGTTGTAATTTCAACTATAGTGATTTTTAGAGGTGTTTTCGCAAATTGTTATGATCGAGTCAAAATTTTACAATCGTGTTTTTGAGCAAGCAAACTCAAGATAAAGACCTGAATTTACCTATATCAAAATTCCAGTTTCGTTAGTCGTGTCATACTCCTATACTATTTCATGAAAGGAGGTGCATTTTTTCGCGGTGTCGCCTTAATTGAAATTCATTTTTGCGACTTTTTTGCGTTAATCCTATTTATATTTTGTTATAATATGTTTTGGTTAATAATAAATTAAGTCAATTTAATTTTTCATTCGGCACGTTTTCGCCAAACTCAAAAAAAAAATTGTGAAATCTCTATTTGGATCACATTTTTGTGGACTTTATTGTAAACATTGAAGTAAATTTATTAATTTCCAAAATTATTAATTGATATATCGAATTTTCAGAAAAAAAAAATAATGAATACAGAATCGACCTTAATTTCACTTAAATTAAGAAACATTTCTTTTAGAATTTATACTGTTTTACATACTTGCATATATTACGTTGGCCTAATTAATATAGCATTATAACAGTAAAATCTGAGGTAAAAGATAACAAAAAAATTCAAAAACAAGTGACTCAGGACCGTGCTTTGTGGCATTCCTCGGGGGAGACCTATGTTCAGCAGTGGATTTGTGAAAGGCTTTAATAATGATAATGATGATGATGATGATATTATTACTAACCTAAACAGTAACCTATTTTTAATAGTGGTAGAGCCACGCGGCAGCTTTTACTGTCGCACAGATAGGCCGGCTCGAACCGGGGTAGTACCACGACCTCATAGAAAACCAGCGTGAAGTAGAGGTTTACCTCTGCGTTTCGCTTGGTGAGTGCGGGTGGCCGGAGGCCCTTTTTACTGGAAATGAGGCATTCCATCTTAGTCCTCACGGGTGACAACACATCTACATTTTGATTTGTAACAGAGGATAGATGTAGATTGGTATGGGCCGCAGCAACCACTTACCATCAGGTGGACTGTGTGCTCGTTTGTCACCCTTATCCTATAAAAAAAAAGTATGCTCCTAGTATGCTTTGTAGCATTAAGTCCGTCCACGACACTTTTTGCGCAAAAGAATCAATAAATAAAATTCTACTGCGATCTCAACTTACGAATTCCGTTATATAATGTAAACTGCATATTCCTTCCTTCCTTCTCCCTTGCCCTAAATTAATAGTAACCGATGTGACGCTTATTCGAATTTAATATGACATATTGTCATATTTTATTATTAAATTACGATAGTATCTTTAATACGTTATTCGCATCATAGTTTCCCTTGATGTTATCGTTATTAAAGCATCGATTATAAGTTTCAGCATTATAATTTAAAAAAATGTAAGAAGCACCCACAAGAACATGGGAAATTATCTGATGGTGACATTGACCGCAATCGTTTTCGCCGCGAGAAAGCAAATGGTCGTGTCTTACACGGCGCTTCAACAAACTAGTTTACTCCGGTTATTTATTCTAATATTTTCACTTATGTAAATTCTATGAATTCACTTATATTCTATCACTTATCAATATAATGCGTAATTCTCTCACTTTGCATTCAAGTGTTTAAATTGTCTGCGTTAAAAAGGATACGTGTTGTATGTACTAATACCAAATTTAAAAAAAAAAATTTTTAGAATAATGATTTTAAGTAATTTTAAATTTTAAGTAGTTTAATAAATAATTACACACAGCCAAGAGTCGTATGTTATTTAAAATTCTTTATTTTAATTTTATCTTTTATAGTATGCGAGCCACCTAATTACGATTCTCGCCATCATCACTAATTTTGTTTATCACGCGCTTGATGGTAAAAGTTAAAGTCGGTAATTTAAAAAAAACTCTGCATATGTGAAAATATAATTGTATTTGAATTATAAGTAATATCCGAATTGCACTGAAGCATACAAAGACAGACAAGTCTTTACTTTTGAAAGTTTATGTTGCTTTGATCGTAATCGCTATCACTTTTAATTCCACATGAAATTAGTACTGAATCTTCTTCTTCGTCAGTTGTTTAAGCTTAATTTCTGGATGTGGGCCAGTAGCAGGCGTTTTGGTGCTCGCAGTAACTAGACGTGTCATACCTTTGACGCTATCCATCACCAATCTGAGTATTTTATTTCTGTCGTGAATGTTACGATTGTAGCACCATCCATTGCAAGCTAAGGTATTTTCTGCCATCTTATATAACGCTGCCACCAGATAGCGTAGAATATAAATATCTATTCAAAAAAGAAAAAGACAAAACAAAATCATAGCCTATCAAAAGCCAATGTTGAAGAATAGGCCATCAATTGCCTTACAGTTGTCGCGTTTGGTCGGCTGGTTGGCAGCCGTGAAAGATGCTTCTCATACATCTTCTGTGTCAGATTTCCTTTGTCGCCTCTTACGTTTTGAATTCTCAGCCACCACACAGCCATCCGCCGGTCTACCTATTACTTTTATAGTACTAAAAATGTTTTTAATTTTCCAGGTCCAAAATGGCTACAAATGTCGCGTCTCACATATCAAGGACAACTGTCATCTGGTTAATGCTAGCTTTAGTAAATGTAAGTATATAAACAACCTAAAAGTATTCGTTTCTTTGGCATTTGTTGTGTTACTTGTATGTGTCTTTAACAATAGTGGTAATATCCCTATAATTACGTTTTATAATTTTTTAATAATCACTAGCTAGTACCCAGTGCGTTGCTACCGTAGAATAAATAATTGTGGTATATTCACAATAAAATTTTCGTTTTAAATTTTGAACAATTATATTGTTTTATTAGGGATGATTCATTGATATTGAATGATATATGACTTTCAAATAAATTTGTCGGTACGGTACGCGCGCAACCTACTGTAAGTTAATTGTACTATGCCTTTAACCTTCACACAAGTGCATGCAATATGTTGACAAAGTTTTACCGCAATCTGATTAACGTATGGCAGCTCATAAAATGCGAACAAATAAACATTATTTTTATATGTATATTAGATTAATAAATATCCTTTTATCAAATACTATTTGAGTAAGACATTACACTTTAATTTGATATACATTTTGATGCGAGAAATCATATCGAGCCCATACATGTTCCACAGTTGAACATCTCTCATTTCTAAGAAGGTTTGGCCACCTTCACGTTTCCTCAAAATACTTTTTTTTTAATTTCCTGACAAGCAGATTTCCTAACGATGTTATCCTTTACAGTTGATTACGAGACAAATCAGCATTTGAAATTGCTATTAACAATTTGAACGATGTCGGCGAGGATTCGACCCGGTTCGCTCATGTACTTTGAATTTTAAGGGCACTAGATGGTAGAACTACTTTTCTGCCTAGGAATCGGATCTAGTCTAGTGTAGGAACAGCAGTGTGTGCACTGCAGTTTTCCTGTGTGAAGGGTAAAGAGAACCAGTTATTATTACAGGTTTTTTGGCATTTTATCTTTGTCCTCAGAAGTGACAAAGCATCTGTAGCATTCTTTATTTGAAGTTGCTTGAAGGTGTCCATGGGCTGCAGTTACTTAGCTGTAGGTGGACTTTAGGTTGGTTAATTATAATAATTAAAAAAAAACACTTACAAGGTATACGGTACATAAGTAAAATTAAAATAAAGTAATAAAAATTATTACTAGACTGAAGTTAGACTTCTCCTTAAAATTGTATAGGTTCATTAAATTTATCGCCTTTATCTACTTATTTTCTACGGACTTCAAAAAGGAGACGGTACTCAATTCGACTGTATGTTTTTTTTATGTGTGTTACCTCATCATACCTTTTTACTGGTTGTACCAATTTCGATGATTATTATTTATTTGAAAGCTGGTGCTTCACATGCGGTATCATATAAATTTGATCAAGTTCTAACCAATAGTTTTTGAGTTATTCTTAATAATTTATGTTAAAGTCGGTTGTAAAAAATGTTTAATTTTAAATTATCCTATGAAAGGTCCTAACATTATGGAAATCTATTTTCAAAAATACGTTGCCCTCTTCGAGGAAACCTACGCCATTTATCAATGATCTTTGAAAATTAAATGTGTTTCAAACTTATTTAAATTTTCAAATAAAAAATGTGTTACTACTGCGAAATTATTTAGCAGCGCGCTTTTAATTTTCATGCTTGGTTATAGAAGATCCAAGACGCCTTTTCAAAGAAATCGAAAATTTTATTTTTATTGTAAATTTTTTTCATCATCATTCATCATTACAGCCCTTCACAAGTCCACTGCTGAACATAGGCCTCCCCCAAAGAATACCACAAAGCACGGTCCTGAGCCACCTGCATCCATCGACTTCCTGCATATCTTACCAGGTCGTCACTCCATCTAGTGGGGGGACGCCCTACACTTCGCCTGCCGGTACGAGGCTGCCACTCGAGAACCTTTCTTCCCCATCGGTTGTCGGTTCTTCGAGCTATATGGCCGGCCCATTGCCACTTCAGCTTACTAATCCGTTGGGCTATGTAGGTCACTCTGGTTCTACTGCGGATATCCTCATTTCTGAGTTTATCACGCAGAGAAACTCCGAGCATAGCCCTCTCCATAGCTCGCTGAGCGACCTTGAGCTTCCTCATCCGGCCAGCAGTGAAGGACCACGTCTCAGTTCCATATGTCATCACTGGCAACACGCACTGGGTGTACAGTCTCGTTTTCAAGTTTTGAGGTATACCTGACGAGAAGATGTGCCGTAATTTCCCGAACGCTGCCCAACCGAGTTGAATCCGTCGATTGACCTCTCGGTCGAAATTGGACTTACCTAGTCGGACTATTTGTCCCAGGTAAACATACTCGTCAACAACTTCGAGCTTAGTGTTCCCAACAACTACCGGCATAGGTGTGATATGGACATTAAACATGATAAATTTTTTTATTGGTATGAAATTATGTTGATTGTTACCTTTATGTACAAGGAATAAACGTTATTAAAAATTAAAAGGAATAAACGGCATAAAAGTGAAATTTACATTTAAATGAATCATGTATATTTGAATAAGTAAATAGAAAGCATTAAATAAAGTACCAAAGTAATATCTTCAATCTTGTCATTTAAATTAGAAATTTAATTTTATGCAACAGAGTTAATTTTTAATGATGTGTCAATTGTTTTAAATTAATTACTCCAGTACACAGTGGCTTTCACAAATTATTTAATAAGAGATAATAAAATATAAACTTTAACCACTATAATTATATTCGTAATTATTAGTAATAGTAAGTATTCAGTAAAATATAATTCTAAATACTTGAGAAGAATCGATCATTACTCCATCATTATACTCGTATGTTAACTTACGTTAAAACTGAATTATCATTTAAAATTCAAGACCATTTTTCATATTATATGGTTAGAAATAGTTCGAAAACTTTTTTATACTTTTCTGTTCGTTGTTTTATACTTAATTCCATTTAATTACTATCAAACTATTTTCTTCAATAATAGTTACGTTTCACCAATACCACCACCAAAGTGTTGATGGGTTGTTAGTTGTCGGCTTTCAATGTTTAATAAGTAAGTTTAGGATTTTATATAATCCTTTACGGAGATGTTTTATAATTATGTGTTTGCATGCATAGTCCTCCCTCATAGATTGCCTCATAGGGGTGATATTCGCCTTAGTTGCCGCGGATTGGAATCGAAGTTTTAATTACTTATTTTGAGTTGAAAAATAAAGACGATACTGCTCATATCCTGTATCATTTTCTTTTGTCGCCTCTTACGACACCCATCAGGCGATATTATGTGATAGTGGATATTCTTACGCCGTAACTACATGGCGTAGAATATAGTAGTGATGTTCGTATGGAACATCTCTACTTAAATAACCTTTTTAAATTCTGAAGCCGTGTTTTTTTTTTATAAAATTAGTTACAAATAAACACACAGTCCACCTATGAATGTTGTGGCCCATAGATATCTACATTTATTTTGTGTTGCATTCTCTATACTCAACATACAAAACACATCAGTATTAAGCTGCTATTTTACGCAGGTATTCTGTGAGAGTAGAGTCCTACCCCGGTCAAACTGACCCATTCGTGCTATAACCATAATATAGCTGCAGCATTGCTTTACCACGTATATTATAACTTTCTCGTAACACGTAAGAATTAAAAGAACAGCTCAGTTGGCTAAATAGGGCTTTACACTAAACGCTCTGTAGTTCCTATAACTGAGTCAAGTAAGCTCCGCTTGTTGACAAAAAGCCAACCTAGAACGTTAAGTAACCAGAATCGAACCGTCCTTGTCGAGGTCGGTGGAAGAACCCGGCTAAGTGCGTTGGTGTATATATCAACGAGTGTTTAAGAAGCGCACGACTTTCTCATCTAGTCGGTTGTCTGTTGCGTCCGCTCCATTTGAGCGCATCGCACGCGCGTCCGCTGGCACACATAGCGGACATATTGCACATTGGCAACTAGACCGCGCTGCAAAAACATACGGATAAGCTCAGGACGGTAGGTACGCTAGATTGTTGTAAGGCATTCGACGTCATCCGGCATCATTTCGATTTATTCTGAAAACAGACGTACTTGGCTTTTGACCTATCAATTCTTTATCAATTTATTTTCATTAGGTAGTTTTTTTTTGCTGTTGAAACTATATTGATGCATATTATCACAAGAGGTCAAAATGTTTAATCTTTATAGCCTGTAAAAGCGGTGTTAAATATTTAAATTTAAGGAAATATTATGAAAAAATGTAAGCATTGTAGATTAGTTGCTCAACTTATTACTATATCAATAAAATATGTCACATATATCCGTTTTACAACTGAGACAGATATTATTCGGTGTTTAAAACAAGATTATAAAAATTCTAGTTTCGTTACATATTTAAATTTAAAGAATTGTTAGTAAGAATTGTGCAATTATTAAAATTTTTAATAGTAAAGTAAAAAATACAATAGCAAATGTGTTTTTATTTAAGTAGGGCTCTTTTCAAGTTTATAATTGAGAGAGATAAAATTCGGTGTTCAAAACATGTTTAACACAATTCTAGTTTCTTTTACCGTTTCATTCCTGTTAAAATATGTCATGCAGTCATCAGAATGTGGGGTATGTCAGTAATATTTACAAAAAATATGAAATATTTATAAACAATTGATCTTGTTTTTAATGTTGAAAACATATAGCGATGTGGTAAATGAAATAAATCTTAATGAACTTTAGTCCTTTACTCTTGTTTAAATTATAACTAACAAACATTTAAAGTCGTTAGTACAGTTCTAGTTACATTTCGACGGACCATAACTTACTGATTATTTCGATCTGGGGTTCATTCTGGTTATAAAACAACTACTGCACTTATTAGTATCTTTGATGACATTAGAAAAGGGTGGGAGTTAAGGTAGTGGTCTTATCCTTTCCACGATTGACATTTTAGAAGTGTGCTATTAAACCTATCGAATTTCACAGCATAACACTGAATTCAAAACATATCAGTTCGCGATTGTATCAGTGCCCTGCCCGATGATTTAAAGGAAGCACCAATAAGAACACCTTTAAAGAACTTATATATATATATATATATATATATATATATATATATATATATATATATA